GCACCTCTGCCCGTGCCCGCCGGCCCGGTGCGGCAGCCGGTTCAGCTGAAGCGTTGGGACTCCGAGCACAGAGCGAGGGGGGATGCAGCGGTGCGGCACGTGGCGAAGGCAGAACCCAGCATTCCAGCCGGAGGAGAGCGGAGGTGACAACGTCACTGTCCCTCGGGATCGTTCCGGGATCGCTCTCGCTGGCCCCGCACAGTGTCACAGATTGAGAGAAGTCACCAGCGATGCTTTAATCCAAGAAAATTGGCATGGCTACTTTGGACTACTGTAACATGGGAGTGATTCTGTTCCATGGCCTTTAATACATTGCATTTTCATAGCACCTTTCATCCCAGGGTTAAGTGCTTTAACGGAAGCGGGTACTGTGCACCCATTAGCACGGGGGAAACCGAGGCACAGAGTGGTTTAGTGACTTGCCTTAGATCACTTGGCAAAACCGTGGCAGAGTCTGGACAGCCTTAAACCTCCTGACTCCATCAGTTGGTCAGACCATGCTGCTGCCTCCAGTGAAGCCACTCCGGTCCCTGCCCTCCCCAGCAACGTGCTCCTACCAATTCTCCAGTGAAGTCTCACTCTCCTTTCTGATGCACAAATATATGACAAGAAAAGAAAAGAAACAAAAAAAAAAAAGGGGGGGGAAAGAAAAAAGTGCAGTAAACTAAATGTTTAAAAAAGCACATTTGTGCTGTCTCTGTGCAAAGATAAAAGAAATAAATACATGGTTAACAACTTAAAAAGGTAAAAAAAAAAAAAAAAAAAAGGGGGGGGAAAGAAAAAAGTGCAGTAAACTAAATGTTTAAAAAAGCACATTTGTGCTGTCTCTGTGCAAAGATAAAAGAAATAAATACATGGTTAAAAACTTAAAAAGGTTCACAGTATCACACATGGATAGGTAGCTACGGTAGTGCACGTCTGGAAACACTGTATTACTACCCAGGATTCTCTACACCCCGCTGCTGCCTCCCTCGGGGCTGCGGGTGAGCGGGTGGTTTCTTTTGCTGCCCACGTCTGGGATAAGTAGAAAGACACGGTTATAGTTTTGCTCCGTTCTGAAATGCAGTGCCCGGGATCCTGCAGTGCAGCAATACTGGTTGGTGTCAGCAAGCTCTTCCCCATCCCACTGGAATGGCTGCATCAACAAAAAGGGAACACATCGACCTGCAGAGGGAATCGCTGCTCTCTGGGGCTTCTGTGTCTGCATAGAGATTACTGCAAGAGGCAGAGAAAAAAGAGTCAGTGCCTGCCCCTGGCCCTGTGTGTGGTTGCATGTGAGCCCAGCCAACTCCCCAGAATCACATCAAGCATGAAAGGGGAAGTCCAAGGTTGTTCATCTTGCATCCTCCAGTAATGACAACCCCAGTGGAGAACTTCAGCTCCCCAAAGCTCTCACTGCACCACACCATCCAGAACAAGCCACGACCCCTGCTCTGCCAGCACAGGAGATCTCGTCTGCTGCCACAGAGCTGACCCGAGGCGCAGCAGGGCTCTGCTGCAGCCATGCAAGAGCCCCCATGCTGAGGGGACACAGCCACAAGCTCTGACCTCGACCCACTGGGCACCCAGCACACGTGTCTTGTACACTTACTGTATCGCTCTCCTCATCAGAGACAGAGTGGAGCTGAGCGCTATAGTGGAGCGGGGAGTAAACCCAACTCCTCTCGTCTGTCGGCTGCCAGAGAGGCCAGAGACGGTGGGGAGAATGCAAGGAGAGCAGCAGCAGAGCAGGGAGCAAAGGAGAGAAAAGGGAACAAATAAAAGGAAAAATAAAAAGAGTAGGAAACAATACATAAGAACAGCAGTCCACCTGGAGGGAGAGAACTGAGCTCGGTGCCAGCTCTCAGCAGAGGAGCCTTCCTCATCTTTGGTACATACATGGGACAGCCCACCAGCAGCTGACACTGCACCCTGCTCCCCTGCAGCAGGGATGGCACAACCATCCCTCTTGCAGGGACAGCTTCTTAGAGCTTTTGAGATGCCAGAGAACCCTCAGCTCCCCCCCTGCCACAGCATCACCCCTGCTCCACAGCAACTGAGAGACACGTGGCAAGGACTTACTTAAGGACAGAGCTCATGGTTCTTGCTACCCACTCCCAGCCCTCAACCTCACATTTCCTGAGCCCTGTGCATGAGACAAGCTGGCATCTTAGAGTGAAACATGCTCTGGTTTGCTGTGCCTTCCCCCTTCCCTGCAGGCCAAGCAAGGCAGCAGATGAGTGGGTTAGACCATGGTGGATGGTGGCCACAGAAAGGAAATGGTTATCACCGAGTGTCTTGGAGACAGTGGGGTGATGGGAATGAATATGACAAAGGAGGCAAAACACAACTGGATCTTGGAAAGAACAAGGGGGAAGAGGGTGTGCGTCAAGGGAGCTGGTTATCACAGCACTGGGCATCGTGTGACAAGACACTTCTGCTACTGACACAGCTCAGAGAAGCCCAGGAGGATTCAAAGGCTGGTGTCTGCTTCCAGTGTTCCTAGAGGGACCCACTTCCTCTGCAAATGGGCTCTTTAGTCTCCAGAAGTGCTCCCAGAGAGAGGAAATTGCACCCTTTGACAGCCTGGGGTTTGCAGAGGAAAAGAAATAGATCTGGGTACTTGGAAAAAGCCTGAAGGGGGGTTAACAGTTTACAATGTACAAGAAACTAACTACAAAAAGCCAGAGGAGCTTTGAAGCACTGGGCTCCACATGCTGAACCCCATCAATAACTGCAGCTTCATTAGCAGAGAAAGGAGGGAAGAGCAACCCTTGCCTGCAACTTCTCATGGGGCTCTGCTAGAGAAACAGAAAAGCTCAATGCTGCATAAAGCCTCCCCCACATCCTCTTGCTCATCCATCCTGACTGAACTACAGGCTCCAGCCAACCTTTTCCAGAGCCTTTTGGGAGCTCAGATGCATGCAGGGAGCTGCAAACCCAGAGGGGACATAAAGGAGCATTTGGTGCTTGATATTAACCCTCCTGGTGCTGGGGCAGCCAAACCATGCTGAGGGGCAGGAGGAGCTGCTGGGGAGGGTGCTGCCTATTGGCCACGTAGGTGCAGCACTTTGTGGTGCCATCAGCCAAGACCAGGAGCACATCACAGCCCTGCCTCCCCATGGCCACCAAAAAGGCAGGCAATGGAAGGACCATACTATACAAATGCTTGTGCTGAGGCTCTGGCACTGCCTTTGGGAAGATGAGCTCTCCCAAAGACCAAGAAAGGAAGCAATTTGAGCTCTGAATTCAGCTTCTAAATGCTCAAGTGCCTCCTTGCAACTTGTGGAAAGGAAAGGAAAACCCCCACCACTCCCAGAAAACCTGGAGGGAGCACACTGGTGGTGTTGGGAAGGGCTGGAGAGCAGAAACCACCCCTAACCCAGCAGCAACTCCTAACTCCTTTGGCTGTAGGAGCTGCTCACCATCCCTGCCATAAGCGTAAGAGGTCATGCTTGGGTTTTTAGCAGCTTCAAAACATCTTAATGGTCTCTTTGGAATCTCATCTGGCTTCCTGGGCTGAGTCTACCATTACCTACAAAGGCTCAGGTGCCTCTCTGGCCAGGTCTGCTGCTTGCAAGTTCACCCAAGGAATGGGTACAGCCCATCCCATGGCAGGAGCTGTGTCACCAGCCTGCAGAAAAGCAGGACAGAGCATGTGTTCCTGCAAGATCCTACAGGGGAGATCCATTTGTGTGATTCCAATATGCTTCCCTCGTTTCTGCTGGGCTGGTTCCTAGTGGCCACAGGATAGAGAGCCCCAGCATCCAAGGGAAATGGAGCGCTGGCCCCAGTGTTTCAAAGCTGCAGCTCTGCTCCCCTACGTGCTGGCATGTTCACTTACACTCCCAGAGGAAAGCCAGGTGGTTCGGAATCTGTGCTGGCGGGGAGAGTAAATCCAGTACCTCCCATCTGTGAACTGGATGGCCCCAGGACGAGTGAAGTGAGGAAGGAAACAAAAGGGGGGGGAAACAAAAAGGATGATATGAAAAAGAGAATGAAAGAGAAAGCGACAACCAGGGGGTTGGGCAGCTCCAGGCCTGAAGGGCTCAGCGGGCAGGAAAGCCGTGCGTGGGAAGAGCAGTGCCCATGCCCTGTCACCATCTCTGCACTTTCATTCCCCTGGGGGTGAACAGGAGGATGAAGTGCTTTCCTTTCAGGAGCAGACTCCCAGAGATCAGATCACGGTCCCCTGGGATTTGACAAATCATCCCTTGACCTTCACCCCTGGAGCACTCCTGGCAATGAGCAGCCGTGGCTCCGGCCCTGCTGCGCTCCGATGCTCCAGCTCAAGTGGTTTTCCAAGGACAGCGCCCATGGGAACCCAAAAATCAGCTTTTCCCTTCATCCCAGCAGTGAGAAACACTCCACAGCACACGACACACATTTAATGCAAAACAAGGACTCGGATGAAGTATGAAATGCTGATGAGCAGTCGGTCACGCTCTCTGGGAGCACACACTGCACACAGATGGTTTCCTCTGGATAAAGAGGAGTCCCACAAGTTGGGGGGTGAGTCCATATGCCCAGGGACAGGGAGGAAGAGAAGCTGACCCTTCCTATAAGACACCTGCCATCGGAACAGGCAGCTTCCACCCAGCTGCCATCCACAGGCAAAGAAAGAGCAGGTGGTGTTAGAGGGAGCTGTTGGCATTTTAAACAGCATGCACAAAACCCCAAACCAGACGAGCCTTTAAAATGGAGCTGATTCCTTCCACAGCTCCCACGAGCCTTGGAATGACTCGGCAATGAGTGAGCAGCTCTGCAGCAGAGTCGTGCAAGCACAGGGAAAGGCAAACATTGCCATTTTTAGGTTAGCCTGAAGGAGCTCATCACAAGGGCTCAGCTCAGCTCCATCACCACGTACCCAACAGCACCGTGTCGGAGCAGGGAGGAGATGGGCACCTCCTTTACTGAGATGGTTCCAGCGCCCACACACAGGGGAGAGCTCTCAGGGTCAGACCCTCAGCTCTGCTCCGGGAACCCACAGGGCACGTCCATGTGGCTAAAAACTCTTCTCTGGGCCATAGAAGCTGCTCAGACATTGTGACGGCTGACTGAGGAACACGGCTCCAGGCTCCACAGCACTCTGCTGCCAACCAGCAACCACCTCACTTACTCCCTGTCTCAGCACTAGATTTCCAATGCATCCCCTAATGCATCTGCCTGCAGGGAAAGGAAAAGCCAGAGTTCACCAGAGCCCAAGGTCAGCCCCACTGCAACCACCTCCCTTCTGGCTCTAGGCCACTGTGGCATGTTTGAGCTCGGGCTCTCCGGCTGAGGAAGGAAGAACCCCTCAGTTGCACCTACATTCACTCTGGCTTGTCCCAGGAGTGAACGTGGCCTAGATAAACCCTCAGCCTGCTTGGAAGTAGAGCAGCACACCTGTGGTTACATCCACAGCAGCAGTGCCACCCATCTGAGCCCTACAAGACACTGGTTTGCATTCTCCAAGGGTTAATCCACTCGCCTGCACTCAAAAAACCACCCAGTGTCAAGATCTCAAGGTGCTCAAAGTGCAGATGGCACTGCCCTGTGCCCAACTGCCTCGTCCAACCTCTCCCATCACACCCCTAACTGGCCAAGCAGAGAAGGTATCTTACAAAGTATATGTCTGTGACTGGCACATCATCTTCATCCGAGGCCTGGCTGGCTGGTTCCGAGGCCTGGCTGGCTGGTTCTGAGGCCTGGCTGGCTGTCTCCACCTCTATAGTAGCTGTGGATGTTACAATGGCACAGGCTGAAGAAGCCGCCTCTCTGGAGGGGGGAAAAGATGACAGAGTCTAGTCACTGCCATCAGAAATGAGCAAGCAAGGCTGATTTACTACAGAGGTGCTGGAGATGCTCCACTGTCACATCCAGAAGGACCAAATGACACCAGGTAGGGGTCTGCAAAGCTGTCCAGCACCAGAGAACACTCACTCTTTGTCATCTTCTTCAGGAGCTACGATCTCAACATCACACTTGGGCTCCAGCTCGACACTGATCTGCTGAAGCTCCTCCTCAACCCGCACCTCCTCGTGTGACCTGGAAACCAAAGAGAGAGGTGGGAAAGGAGGACAAGAAGAAAGGGATTAAATAGCCAGTGTCAGTGGAGTATGGGAGGAAAAAGAATTGGCCTCTGGGGAAAACTTGTGCGCAGAGTTAGCCTGGCATTATCTATCAACCACACAAGGGTCAAAGCCTCTGACTTCTAAGACTCCCAAAGCTGCCCAAGCATGCTCCAGGGTTAACACTGGATTTACCTGCACACTCAGGAGCTGTCTGGGAGAGTCTTCAGTTTAATACCTCATGCTATTGCAGTAATTGCCTGTGCTACCAGGGCTGGCTCCACAGACCTCATGGGAAGAAGGTGAGGGCACATGCTTGGGAAAGGAACAAGCTCCAGGTTGATTGGCAGCACTGTCCTGCTCTGTGCCACCCCTGGCTGGAAGCCAGAGCCAGGAGGCAGCACTCCCACCCAGCTTCATGCCAGGCAACTCACCCCTCTTCCTCTCAAAACCCCAGAGGGAATTCCCCAGAAGATCAGAATAATTCACTCTGGGGAGACCATAGAGCAGCTCCAGTGCCTAAAGGGGCTACAAGAAACCTGGAGAGGGGCTTTGGACAAGGGCCTGTAGGGACAGGACAAGGGGAATGGCTTGAACCTGCCAGAGGGGAGATGGAGATAAGCGCTGAGGCAGAAGCTCTTCCCTGGGAGGGTGCTGAGGCGCTGGCACAGGGTGCCCAGAGAAGCTGTGGCTGGCCCCTCCCTGGCAGGGTTCAAGGCCAGGTTGGACAGAGGGGCTTGGAGCAACCTGCTCTAGTGGAAGGTGTCCCTGCCCGAGGCAGGGGGTTGGAACTGGAGGAGCTTTAAGGTCCCTTCCCTCCCAAACCATTCTATGATTCTGTTTTCCTCACAAAGCACTGAGAGACCCACTTGTAAGGAAAATTCTGTCTAAGAAACCGGGGTCATTTGATTGCAGGAAGCAGATCATCATCCTGCAGAGGACCATGCCGAAATCTTGGGGCTGCTGAAATTCACATTCAGCCCCCCAAGAGACATAGGGATGAATTTGAGGTCTCTGTACAGCAGTTCAAGAAGAGATGAGACTTTCCTCACCTGCCATCCTGCCCTGAGGAGTGTGTACGTCTCCTGCAGAAGGAAACAAGAACAGCAGAGTTTAAGGAGTGATTTGAGACAGGAATCCTGTAATGCCCCCAGCTCTAACTCCTCACCCCATGAGGGAGATGTTCTACTTAACAGCTGACGCTTCTCGCAGCAATAATTAATCCCATCAAAGCTGTGTCTGTTTGCTCCCAGGAGAGGTTTCATTAAAGCCAGTTGTTTGCATTCCAGAGCACAGGGCAGCTGCTGAGATGTGCAGCACGAGGAGGAGGAACAGCTGCCCAGCTGCAGCAGGGCAGGGGATGGGTGGTGCTGTCCTCACCTGTACCTGGGCTGCTCAGAGGTCTCCGAAGGGGATCGCTCAGGAACAGAAAGAGATGTTGAAGACAGTGTTGTGGCTATGGAAGCCGTGGTAGCTTCTTCAAAGGAAGGAGGTGTGCAGGGTAGCAGGTCTGGCCTGCCTGCTGGTCCAGAGTGGAGGGCAGGAGAGATGCAGGAAGAAAAGGATGAGTAGGTCAAACACCAACACATCACCTACACCAGCCCTGAGAGGCTGCTCCACCATCAACCTGCACACCCTCCCTGGGACTGCTCACTTCAAATAGAAACTGCAACAAGTTTAGGTGGTTCATGAATGCAACAGTGTCTTCCAAAGCATCCTCTAGATGAGAGCCAGTAAGCACCATTCCCAGTGGGATAGACAGACACTTATAGGAAATGTAATGCCAGTGAAGGCAGCTCGTTGGCAACCAAAGCTGGATTAAAAGGCTTGGATCACCGGAGATAAATATCCAAGTGAATTAAGGGATGAATCCAGTGCTTGGTGCTTTACACTCAAGGAGCCTGCCCTTCACCACTCATCTGTAAGGCCAGGCCAGAGGGAAGCGATCATAAGGCAGCACAGAACCAGGTCAGCTGCCCTTTTTCCAATGGCCTTTTTAACTATTCAGACACTGTCATTAGACCCCTATAGCTCCCAGCCCTTCCCTTCCACCCCCTTTTTTAAGGGCTATGACTGCTGGTGCCTTGCAGCAGTGAAACAAGCAAGCATTTTTACTCCAAACCCTACAGTGCTGCAAAGAAGGGATTTGGTGTTCTTCAATGCAGAGGAGTTGCTTCCCCAAACAACTAACTGCTGGTGCTGTGACAAGAGAGCATACTCTTACATTCTCCCCTGTCCTGGTGAAGTTTAGCACTTGCAAAGACACAGCAGTGAAGAGCTATCCATCAAGGAAGACGTGGTCGGTGCACAGTGGGGAACTTGACGAGGACAGGGGAGGATCATAAGGAACTGCTCCAGGAGAGAGGGCATTCACAAGGCCATGGGGCACCACACCAGACCATTACCTTCATCATCAAGTGTGGGGTAGCTCCGGGCTGCACGAAGGTCATACTGTGTCTCATCCTTTTCACAGGGAAGCTGGCTAGCTGAAAACGCAGCTGTTGGACCAGCAGTCTTGACAGCCAGCAAGGCACTGCGCCCTTTCTTTGAGGGAGATGACTTCAGAGCTGGATGACAGGAGGGAAAGGAGATGAAATTCCTACCAGCACCAGAGCAGCTGGAAAGCTGCCTGGCAGAAAAGGCCCTGGGGTGCTGAGTGATGGAGCCGAACATGAGCCAGCTTGTGCCCAGGCAGTCAGAAGGCCAACAGCATCCTGGCCTGTATCAGCAGGACCAGGGCAGTGACTGTCCCCCTGTGCTGGGCAGGTTGGACTTGATGAGCTTAAAGGTCTTTTCCAACCTGGTTGATTCTATGATTCCATGAACTCCTGTCACACCAAAGGCACTTTACCCTTCCTAGAGGGAGAGAGGCCTCTGCCCTCTGGCACAGACACACATGTAATCTGCAAGTGCCATCTCCAAAGGGCTTAGTGTGAGCCAGTCTGTGGGGAGAGGAGAGCTCCTGGGGCCAGTCTGAGCAGAGCAAAGCAAGCCATGGCAACCTGAGGGCTTTGCGCTTCTCCCCAGTGGAGAAGCCTGCTCAGACTCTAGCCCAGAAACCCTCCACGTGCACCAAAGCAGCTCGACTGCTTTGACTCATCACAAGGGCAACAGCTCTTGGGTGAGGTACTTACAGGAATTCTTTCGGAACACCGTGTTGGTCATGAATTTGAAGAATCTCTCTGCGTAGAAGCTGGGTCTGTGCACGGACACCGTGTCCTGCAGAGGCAAAGAGCAGTTGTTGCATTGGAAAATTACCCCTCAAGGCAGAATTTCTGTCACAACCAACAGAATCTTTTCTATTCCAACACTTAGTCCTGATAGAGCCTTAAAATGGAAAGGCTTAACTGAAACGAGCTGATTAATGCTATAAATAAGCCTGAAGCATTGCCTTTGATTTGATTGCATTTGATTATATTCTGGCTGTAATTTTAGAATGGATTTTGGTGATTTTATTCCTTTGTAGCCTTCTGGAGTTTTACACACATGACATTTCTCCTGGCTCTGCTGCCATTCAAGGCACATCTGGGGACCTCTGCACAAGGCACCGACCCCAACGTGCAGCCAAGTTTCTCCACACACCTCAAATAGTTTGCACTTTTTGTTGGCAATGGTAAACCCGGAGTTGTCTCTGCCTCTGCTGTTTCACTGTGCTACCAGGACTCGGCAGCCACACGCTTCCTTTGCCTTATTATTTAAGGGAAGGCAGGATAAGTAATGCTGAGAAACAGTTTCCACATCCGAGGTTGTTCTTTTGTAAACGTGCACCCGGCTGCTGCAGGAGACACGACAGCAGGGAAGCACTGAGAGGGATTTATTAGCAGATAGTTACTGGAGTGGAAACAGTCAGTCAAAGAGAGCAAACACAGGGTTCCTGAACACATACCCGAATGCACATAGTGTGTGTGTACAGCTCCTGGAGTCATGGGGAGGAAGAAAATGACAGATGGGAGTAGAGGAGGAAAGCTGGTAGCACAACAGCTAAAGATGCAAGGAGGTGGAGTGAGCAAGAAAACCTGATTGGGAATAAGTGGCACTACGCCTCTGAGGTGGCATAAGAGGCAAGAACTATTCCTTACATCAGCTTCAACTGTGCCAGTTCAGGCACTATAAATAGCAAGGTAATCAGCAGCAAGTAGCATAAAGGAAGCCAAGGCAGGTAATCCTGCCATGGCCTGGAAAGACACTCACCCCATCATGGACAAGGGCCTTCCAGGTATGTTCTAGCTTCTTGATGAACCTAAATTCCAGGGGAGAAGTGAAGAGACAGATTCAGGCACATACTCTATGTCTAAACCACACAGGGGAGATCACTGAGCTGCTAACAATTCCTCCTTCATCTAAGCACAGTCTGTGCTCCAGCCAAGACAGGTCGGCTGAGCACATCGGCATCTCTGAGTCAGGTCAGGACTGCTGGGGAACCCTACAGGGAAGGAGGAGCTGGGCTCCAAGAGGGGCAGAAAATCAACTTCCAGCCCTGGATTTATGATACCTTGGAAACCTATTATACCTTAGAAGAATGGCTCTGTGTCACCAGCTGTTCTAAGGACAGGATAAAAATCCACAGCCCCCGACACGCACGGACAGACAGCTTTAGGCATCCTACCTACTCATTAGCAAACCCTTCAGCAGAGGAAAACCTTCCTGCTTCCATTCAGGATTAAAATAGATGTTAACACCCTTAAAGGACAGACAACTACAAAGTTACTTACCTGTATGATTGAAGGATATCTATTATTCCTACATGGAGCAGGAGACGCTCTCCTTTGCCATTCACCGCTGGGATTCCTCCCATCCTGCAGGTAGAACAAAACCTCAGCGAGTGCAGCCCCAAAATAACACCCCGAGCCCTGCAGAAGGTGGGGCACTGAAAAGAGGGCTCTGATATGGTGGTCACAGTGCAAAACCTGTGCTCTTTGGTGCACAACCAGGGGAAAGCACTGACTGACACAGCCCATCTCACACCGAGTGCCCCCAGGGCTCCTGCCTGCCTGGATCACCCAAGACCAACGATCAGGACAGGACCAAAGGTGACAGCCTGGGCCAGACAGCACCACATTGTCTTCTCTTAGCTACAGGACTTCTTATTCTGGGCTGAGAATATTCATCAGGTCAGCACAAGCTGCCTGCCTATTAGGGCAGCAAACCTTTAAGGGTGAGGGTGTTTCCAGATCCATCCACACTAACATCAGTCCTGTCAAAGGTGCAGCAACCACAAGCCCCAGCACACAACAAAAGCATGCCACTGGAATTAATGATGCTGCTTGGAAGAATGGAAACACCAAAGCATTACCCTGGCTCTGCTGTGACTGATCCTCCATCAAAACTGGAGCAGCTCGTTTCAGACACCAACAAAGAGCAAACTCCACCATTTGTTAGCACGTTTGGTACCCAGAGCCACAGGGCAGGCATAGGACAGGTTCTGGGCAACCCCATCAACCCACAGCTCCACCAGTTACTCCAGCACTTGGCTACGTTGCTGTTTGATAACCACACTGGGATGGCCTCAGGAAGTTGTGAATGCTCCAGCCCTGGCAGTGTTCAAGGCCAGGCTGGATGGAGTCTTGGCTGACATGGTTTAGTGTGTGGTGTCCCTGCCCATGGCAGGGGGTTTGGAACTAGATGATCCTAAGGTCCTTTCCAACCCAAACTATTCTATTCTACTGCCAGGGATTCCAAAGATGGAGTGATGGAGATTTAACTCCAAGCTCCTAGGGACAGGCTGATCCCTACTTTCACTCCAGTATTTGGATGCTCAGCTAGAACTGAGCAAGCTTCTCCTTCCCAGAGCATGGGTGGATGTTCAGAGGCTGTTACAGGAGCTGTCAACCTCTAGACTGGCCTAAAAGAGAGATTACCATGAGGCTGGAGCCTTCCAGCAGTATTCCCCACCTCAGCTTCCCCTTTCACCCCATGCTGACTTATTGGCAGCAGTACCACAACCCCCAGAAGAGATGCTCACTCTTGACAGTCCACATGGGCCTCATTTGGGATTTACTACCCCAGCCTCCACCTCCACCCCCCGCAAGTGAACCAGGTTTTCACCTACGCGTCATCTGTGTCTATGGGCTCCCCCCGGGTAGCCCCACCCTGGATGGACTCCATGGCCGTGGAGTAAAGTGCCTTCTGCCCCACAGGACGCTTCTCATCCGACGTGCTGTGAGCTCCCTCGGACTGCTGCTCCCGTTCTTGCTGGTCTATGTTATGAACCCCAAGGAGGAGGCTGTAGTCTATGATTTTAAAGCTTTCCAACACCTACAGGTTAGTATTGAGTTTAAGAACAAAGACAAGATATCAGGCCAGCAGCTCAAATGCAGCACAGATACCAAAGCATGGAACAGCCCGTCCACATTCCCTCTATCAACTCCTTTGCCAGAGCCTGAATGGTTCCGAATCAAAAGTCATCTCTGAACTTGACTGCATGGAGTTTGGCCATCCCATAATCAACCCAAAGGGCTGAAGGGTTGCAAATAACAGTGTTGTACCATGTATCTGCTGCACACATATATTTAGTCCCAACAGATAAGCTCCAAGTGGAGCAGGCTGCACCAGGCAAAGGAGCACAGCCTCAGTCCTCAGAGGCTGTCATGAAATCCAACTCCACTGCTTTGCTTTCAGGGAAAAGGGCAGTAGAAGGGATTTATCCTGCTTTGGGGTTAGCAGATGAGTAAGATTCTCAATCATTTGCTCTTCCTCATGCTTGAGAGCCACAGAACTTCATTAACCTGCTCCCCTCCTTACCAGACAGTCACGTTGCAATGTTTTCACCAATGCAGTGAAGGTGTCTGCATCCAACATCAGGCCTTCGGGTATGTCTTGCATGAAGTCTAGATCCTTGTATGTAGGGCTGGACTTTTCTTTTTCCTTCTTGGATGCCCGGCGTTTATAGGTGGAGCCTTTCAGGTCAAATTTCAGGTGCATTTTCACCACACGAGGCAGGATGTTGTTCATCACGACCACACGGATGTTTTTGCCCCCTGACTGCACACAGTACAGTCCATAAAACTTTGGTAGCAGCGTCCGGGGGTTCTGGTTCAGGTTCTGCAGAAGGGTTGGGAAAAAACATGAGGAAAGCTCATTGTGGCAGAGAACTCCTGCTGTGTTCAACACGTCACAGAACCATGGAATGGGTTGAGTTGAGGGGACCTTAAAGCTCCTCCAGTCCCAGCCCCTGCCATGGGCAGAGACACCTTCCACTAGAGCAGGTTGCTCCAAGCCCCTGTGTCCAACCTGGCCTTGAACTCTGCCAGGGATGGGGCAGCCACAGCTTCTCTGGGCACCCTGTTCTACCACCTTCATAGTGAACAGATCTTGGAACAGTCAGATGGGGGGGTCTTCATTTAGAAATATTCTCAACTTTACATGAGAACTTACTCACACATGTGACAAACTCCTGCATTTCAATGGCTTTAGGACCTGAAAATACCACTATGCCTTGAATACAGGGAATAGGATGTTCAGCACTCTCTGGACAAATAACCAAGCCTGGAAATTCCCTGCTTTCCCCATCAACAGCAGCTAAAAAAGGGAAACCAAACTGGAAAAGAAATAAACACAGTAAGTGGGAACTTCCAAGTTTAAAAATAACAGCTCTCTTCATCTCTCCAGAAGTCAGAAATCAAGAGCTGCTCTCTGGCCCAGGATAAACCAGGGACAGGGTCTCTGCAAATAACTGGCACGATTTGTGCTTCTGGGCCTGGATTTGTGTTAACATTGGCCACGAACAGAAAAGCTGCCACAACAAACCCAAGTCGTGCCCAAGGTGCTGGGGGGATACAAACCATGTAGTAGCCAGGAAGGAGCTTCTGTAAGAATTCAGCTTCCTTGTGCATCACAGTTTTTATGATGAATTCATCGTCGCTGGTGACGTAGAAGAGGGAACCGCTGGCACCAGGGTTCGACAGCTCTATCAGAGGCTCGTTACACAGGGAATACTAGGGAGGAAAAGAGAAAAAAAGGTCATGTTTTAGGCCTCACTCTTGCACACTGAGTCCTACACCCTTGAGGGTTTTCCCCAGCATGTTGTCTCCCTGGGAGATGAAGGGGTAGCAAAGCTTCAGTAAGAACTATTTTCATTATAGGGTAGGTCTAAGCAAAGTGGATGGACAGTTTACAATTAGAGACTGAGATTATAGTTCAAAGCATCCCAACTGCTCAGGGATAAAGCTAATCATCTGCTTTCAGCAACATCCAGGCTTGATAATGACATCTCATCTTCCCCCACTGTGTGTGTCTGACATTTAGGCTTCTTTCAGCACATTGCGACAAGTATGGAGGGAAAGATGGGATTTTAAGAGGCATGGCAATCTGCTCAGGGTACCACGTATCACTGTGCTGGAGGGAAGAGAGTGCACTGGCTGTTCTCAGCAGCCTCCTCTGGCTTTGTGCTCCCCGTTCCAGAGAAATCCACATCTCACCCCTCAATCCTGCTGGAAACACAGGAAAAGGATCAGACCAGGTGTCCAAACAAGAAGAGGGTCAGCACAGTGCAAGCACAGCAAAGGGGTCCAGCGTCAGGAACTGGATTTGGAGGCTGATTCTAGACATCAGCATGCAAACAGCAGGTCCTCAAATGAGGACATGGTTAAAAAAGAAGAAAGTACAAGGATACAACTGCCCTTTGCAGCAGGTACCAAACCCAAGGTAACTGTGTAGGTCAAATTCAGGGCAGCATCACGTCAGAGCTGCCACAGCAAGAGGTAAGATAGGGAGAGGGAGGGAGGGTATGTGAGGGACATAATCAGAGCAATAAATTCACTGCTCATCATTACATACTGAAAACAGCTTTCAGCTCTGCACAGATTAATGATCCAAGACTTTATCAAGTTAATTATCTCATGCATAATTAAAGGCATTTGCTGCTGTGGCAGGCAAGAGACAATCAGGGGAAGCAGAAGCAACAAATCAAAGCTGTGACCTTTGCAGGTGAGGCAGGCTCTTTGCCTCACCCAAGTTTTGAGCCATGCATCAAACCAGCCAGTGTTATCTTGGGTGGCACAGACGGGGACCACTGCTGCTGTCAAACCATGTAACAGCACAGATTTGTTTCTACTGGTAAGTGCTCAGCTACAACTGCTTCTGTCTACAGCTGAAGTCAGAAAAAGGCCTATGAAAAAAACCCTGTGCTCATTTGGATGTGTTTCCTTCCCTGGCTCTATAAATGTCCTTTTCTAAAGAGCAGGGCATCATATATGTACAAAGGACCACCTTCAACCCCAGTGTACTTCAAACCCCGACAGCTTGTTAGTGGGTATTTAAAAAACAGCCTTTCCAGCTCTAAGGAGCTTTCTGAGCACAAGAACAAGCTGTATTTTATTCTGTCTCTGTAAGATGATTAAAATAACTACAACTCACATAGCTCTGGAGTGAGTACACAACAAAAAATTCCCATCTTTGTCCTCAGAGCCCCAGGGGACACTACAGGGTTGCACCCAGCTGAACACCACTCCTTGTGCTTGTAAACACAGTGAGTTACTGTCACCAAAAGAGGGAACCCCAGTGCACAGCTCTCACAGCACACG